TCAGACACATGTGTGACCCCTCCTGTTATAAGCAAATAGCGAAAAGTTTAGATTGGCATATATGTCGTGCTATAAGCAAATAAGTCATGTGACTGAATTTAATGACAGGATTTTAACACGATTATCAATTGTTTTTAATCAATTTTTAATAAAAATATAAGGATTAAATTCATTTAAATTAAAATAAAAGGACTAAAACCGTAAATTTGAGATAGTAGAAAAATAAATTTAAACTTTGACTCAGAAAAAATAGTTCTTATAATTTGATATCCTTGAAAGGAAAATAATTGAGAACTTTAAAAGTAGCTAGTCAGGCAATGAAGTGGTTGGGAAATCATGACAGAGTGTTCATGGTCCAGAATTCATTGAATGTTAGTGCGTGAATAAACTAAGTTAAATTTGAATTCACTAATCGACACTCTTTCGTCAAACAAGGAGAGGGCTGAAGTGACCACCATGGACTTGCATATACCTATTATCTTCATTTGACAGAAAATTATTTGATCAACAAAAGATAACTTAATGATTTTTCAATGAACAATGAGATTTCTTTCTCAAAAATTATTTTCCTCTTTCAAAAGAGAAAATTTTCAAAACAGAACTATTTATGATTTGCATTATTCGCCTGGTTTGTGAACTTAAATCTTCTTAAAACCAACCTTAAATGTAGTTTTTTTTTAAGTTTATTTTTATGAAATAAATAGAGATCAATGAAAAATAAGATTTTTTTTTAAATGATTTTTCTCTTTTAAAAGAGAGACAATTTTCAAAAAAAATAAATTCATGGTTTGCATTATTCGCTGAGTTTACGAACTTAAATCATCTTACAACCGACCTTAGGTATAATTTTTTAAGTCGATTTTCATCAGACAAACTGAGTCTATATATTAGTTGTTTTCGCTTATTTCAAGAGTTATTACATGAGCTTAAATGATTATTATAGAATTTTGTTCGAAATCAAATAATTTTGATATTCGAAAATTTTTATTGGATGAAGTCTCTTTATAAAACAAACTTAATTGTGAACATTGTTTTTAATAAATTACAAAATTAAAAAATTTCAAAATTAAGATTAACAAATTTTGAGTTTCAAAATTTTCGAGATATATTTTTTAAAATTTAAATTCAATATAATATTTTAAAAAAATAAAGATCAAAGTTTGTTTAAAAAAAATCAAATAAAAAAACAAAATAAGACAAATAGAGAATATATTATTTTCGTATGCTCCGAATTTTTTGTACAACAAATTAATTTTCAAAATTTTAAAATAATGTATGCATATTCAAAACTTTTGAGGGTCATCTATAATAATCTGCCTAAGTACACAAAAAAAAAAAAATAGCGTTTCACGTATAATTTTTTTATTATAATTTTATAATTATTTGATTATAATAAAAAATTATATAACCAACTATCATTTATAAATATAAATTCCATTAAAAATTTTAATTATATTATATAATTTTAATTTATAATTAATTATAACATAATAATTATCAGTTATAAACTCTCCACTCTGCCGCATAATTTGACTTTCCTTTCCTTCTGTTTGACGTTTCTTTTTCTGCATATGTCATACGGAAAAGTGTCATAATTTTATATAAAAAAAAGTATTTATTATAATGAAAGAATCTCCTTTCGAACTTGGGTCGGTCTGAGTCTTTGAAATGTGTTCGAACTTGGATCGCTCCATTCGTGACAATAGCGAATTACTCGGGATGACGACAAAGTGTCAGTTCAACTTTATTAGCTCGGGATGATGTTAACAGTTAACAAATTTGTCTGCAGGTTACGACATAATATGTACAACAGAATGGTCCCCGTCGTCTAATTTTTATTTTTAATTTTTTATTTTCGCGTAATTCTCTTTTTTTTTTAATTTTTAATTAAAATTAAATATATTATTTTAAAATTAAAATAATATTTTTAAATTTAATAAGTTTGATTCAATAATCCAAAAAATATAAGAGTTACACTGGTAAAAGTAAATCTTACTCATATATATATATGTATATAAAATGTGTGTTTGATAAATAAGATTATGATAAGATAAAATAATATTATGAATAAAATTTGATTAAATAATATTATTATATTTTATGTTTGATGTATATAAAAATTATGATAAAATAATTTATCTATAAGTTAAAATTATCTTTTTTTAAATGTTATATAATTTAAATTATTAATATAAGTTTTAAAAAATATAATAAAATATATAAATTTAATCTTATATATTAAAAATAATTCATTCCACTAAGAGAATATTGAATTATCTTATGTCAAAAGAATAATTAATCTTTCTTGTAATCCTATAATTTTTTTAGATATAAATCAAATATAATATAAAATAATTATTATTCTATTATATTTATGATTCTATCGAAACATGATCAAAATTCATTAGATGCATTTCACCTATAATTTTTTAATTATAATTATCAGTTTTCAATCATAATAAAAATTATGTAAAAATACCCCACTTATAAGTATAGAGTAATAGGTTTTATATAAAATTTTAATGGATTTCACATAATTTTAAATTGTAATTGATTAATTATAATATAATAATTATAAAATAATAAATTTTCATTTTTTTAATATATTTTTAGTGAAATTTTTTAATTTCAAGATTAAGAGATTAACATATGTTATTTTTTAATCAATTTTTAATTTTATTTTTTAATATACTATAAGAGATGTGTTCATTTGTAATTTTTTTTAATCAACTTATGCTTTAGGGATTATACACATAAATTTCAATTTCATATCCAAAAATTTTAGAAAAAAAAAATTTTAATTTTCCGGCAATGAATATTAAATGTGTGCACACACACTAGGTGAGAGAAAAAAATCTTTATATTGATTTGATAATTTACTAAAATTTTAATTTAGTGATAAAGTTTAATCCATGTAGAATAAAAAATATTTTTTTCTTATTCAATTTCAATATCATGAGTCTTAGTGTGAATAAGAATTCTTACATTATCAATTTAAAAAAAAATTGTTCTTTCTGCAGAATGATTTCTATTTCACTTGGATTTTATTCAATTCAACAATGGAGAAAAAAAAATTTTAAGAAACAATAAATTGCAGGAACTTAGTGCACCGAATCAAATATTGATATTAATTTTTTTTATGCAATGATTGGATCTAATTAGTCCATTTAGGCCCATTTGGTTTCACTTTTAGCAGCAATGTTGTGAAATTAACTAGATTGAATAATTCGTATCATTGAATAATATAAAATATTATATTTATATAATATTTTATATAAAAATTATGTATTATAATTAATATCAATATAAAAATATAAAATATAATTTTTTAATTTTATTTATAATTTTTTAAAATTTTAAATCATATTATTTTATATTTTTTATTTATATCATATCATCGTACGTTTTTTATATTATAATATCTAAAATTAAAAATATTTTCACACCAAAAAAAATGTTTGAATGGTTAATTGAAAATTTTCAACTGCGCCACATCCCTTAATCATCACTAAAGCCAAAGGGCCATTAAACTATATCGGGGAAATAATATAAATGAAAGTAAGAAAAGTTAAGTAAACGAGTACTTGAATGAAGAAAATCAAAGTCTAAATTCAATATTTCTACTTCCTCGATTCAAAAGTTTTCAAAATTTTCTACTTTAATTTTAATGAATTTAATTTTTACTTTTATTAAAAGACGGTTTACTTTTATCATAGACATGGGCTTTATTTTTAGCTTCAAATATCAATTGGGCCTTTAAACTCACATAATTTAATTTGAATTAAATTTTAACGCACGTAAAATTATTTGTAAATGATTAATTTGAATTAAGTTTAAATGAATTTAGTTAAATAAATTTAATTAAAATGTTTAAATTAATTCAAATCATGATGTTAAGATCAAATCTAAAAATTAAATAAATTCAAATAGATTTAAATAAAAATTTTAAAATATTTATAATAATATTTGTTTAAATACATATAAAGTGTAACGTTGCACTTATAATTTTATAATTATTTATTTATAATAAAAATTATATAAAAAATCATCACTTATAAATATAAATTTCATATAAAATTTTGATTATCTCATATAATTTTATGTTATGATTAATTATAATATAATAATTAACGATGACCTATTTTTTCTTTTGTTTGAGGTTTCTTTTGCTTTACATGTTGTAAGCAACATTGTCGTAATTTTATATATAAATATTATTATGATGAAACAATCACACATATTTAGAATTTGGTCGGAATTAGAATCACTTTATTCGTGACAATAGCGAAAATTCAACCGTGATTGTAGTGTTGTTCAGACACAAGTGTAACCCTCCTGTTATAAGCAAATAGCAAAAAGTTTAGTCGTGTTATAAGCAAATAAGTCATGTGACTGAATTTACTGACAGGATTTTAACAAGATTATCAATTGTTTTTAATAAATTTTTAATAAAAACATAAGGATTAAATTAATTTAAATTAGAATAAAAGGACTAAAACCGTAAAATTGAGATAAGTGGAAAATAAATTTAAACTTTGACTCAGAAAAAAAAGTTGTTCTAATTTGATATCCTTGAAAGGAAAATAATTGAGAACTTTAGAAGTAGCTAGTCATGCAATAATGAAGTGTGGGAATTAGAAAGATTGTCATAGGCCAGAGTAATTAAAATGTTGTCAATCTAGTGAATTCATTAATCCCTACCATTCATCCAACAGGAAAGGCTGGACGAAAGGACTTGATGCTTAGGTCTAGATTTCTCGAAACTTAATTGCAGGGGGAAAAAAGTGACCATTTCTTATGTTTGTTTTCCTGCAATTCTTCGCGAATCCTATGAGAGCAAAAATATTCAACTAGAATCAGTCATCCTACCTCTATCTTTCATGTTTTTCTTTAGTGGACTAGGAGATTAATTTCCGATCATATAATATTATAAAATATATTTATCTAACCTTATATATATATTATATATATTATAATACAAACTTTGTCAAGAACAAAAACGCCCTTCCTCATGTAACCAAGCTTTGCAAATGGATCCGAACCTTGAAGAACAGCATAATTCCATGATGATCAGAAGGAGTTTGCTACAAAATGCTTGCTTAGATGCCCAGGATGAATTTGTAACAGGCGGTAAGTGGTAAAATTGTTTCCCCTAATCATTTTAGGGTTTGGTAAGCTAGGCAGTGAAAAGAAAAACATTTTCCATTAACTAAATACATAATAAATGTTTTGGTTAAGAAGATCTAAAAATATTCATATGTTAGGGATATCCATGGAGAATTTCAAGGACAAGGCTAGTATTCAGATTCTTTCTCTGTTAAATTCTAAAGTTTAGAAGGTTTCATTGCTTTGAAACAGTTCTGATTGATGGGAAAATCTTGTCTCTCATCCTTTTTCTTCTAATATTTCAATTTATATTATATCTAACCTCTCTTTGGCTTCATTGCTCAGGTAACCAAGCTTTGCAAATGGATGAGAACCTTGGAGGACAGGAAATTTCCAGGATGATCAGTAGTAGTTCGCCGCAAAATGCTGTCTGAGGATTCCCGGGAGGACTTCAAACGCGGTAAGTGGTAAAATTGTTTCCCCTAATCTTTTTAGTGTTTGGTAAGCTAGAAAGTGAAAAGAAAAACATTTTCCATAAAATAAATTCATAATAAATGTTTTGGTTAAGAAGATCTAAAAATATTCATTTGTTAGGGATACCCATCGAGAATTTCAAGGTAGAGGCCGGTATTCAGATTCTTTCTTTGTTAAATTCTAAAATTTAGTAGGTTTCATTGCTTTGATACAGTTCTGATTGGTGGGAAACTTCTTGTCTCTCATCCTTTTTCTTCCAATATCACAATTTATATTGTATCTAATCTCTCTTTGGCTTCATTGCTCAGATAACCAAGCTTTGCAAATGGATCAGAACCTTGGAGGACAGGGTAATCCCGTGACGATTGGTAGTAGTTTTCTGCAAATTGCTGGCTTAGATTTCTCCGATGAATTTCCTACAGGCGGTAAGTGGTAAAATTGTTTCCCCCAATCTTTTTAGTGTTTGGTAAGCTAGAAAGTGAAAAGAAAAACATTTTCCATAAAATAAATACATAATAAATGTTTTGGTTAAGAAGATCTAAAAATATTCATTTATTAGGGATACCCATTGAGAATTTCAAGGACAAGGCCAGTATTCAGATTCTTTCTTTATTAAATTCTAAAATTTAGTAGGTTTCATTACTTTGATACAGTTCTGATTGATTTGAAACTTCTTCTCTCTCATCCTTTTTCTTGCAGGTCCAAGTCAATACCAAGTTGGTCTGCAAGTTCATTCAGCAGGTTCCATTGTTAATTTTCGTTTGAAATCAATATACTCCTTTGATTCAAATTGAATGTCCATTTCTCAAATTACACAAAGTCAATATATATAAAAAAAGCCTCTAAATTAAACTTTAATAATTTTTCAACCCCTTATCGTTTTATTACAGTCAATTGAACCCTCAAACATTTATTTCTATCTAATTGAGCCCTTAAACATATATTTTCATCCAATTGAGTCTTTGATAGGATATAAATGAATGTTGGCAGTTAACCAATTTTCGTTCAATAAAAGCTTAGTTTGATGAAAATAGATGTTTGAGAACTTAATTAATTGCAACAAAATGATAGGGGTTTGAATGATCATTTAATTTTAATTTAGAGTTTTTTTTTTTAATACTTAAGCATAAGTATTTTCATTTTCAATCAATTGAAGATCAAGTGGAAATATTTTAGTTAAAATACTAGCATATAATACATACATATATATATCATACATGTATATTTTTATTTAATAATATGATAGTAATGTTTCTTGCCTTCTTGCAGGTCAAAGTCAGTATCAAGCTAGTCCGCAAGTGAATCCAGGTTTTATTAGTATTCTCATTTTGAATCAAATTTTGGATTGAGTTAAATGTTAATTTGGTTAGTTCTAATACCTATTATGTGTAACATATATGTTATCGATATGCATATATCCAATTTCTTACCCTTTTGCAGATTCTATGGGAATTTCCATTTTGATCAATTGAGGATTGAGTGGAATAATTTTGGTTAAAAAGTAGCACTTTATGTATGATATTTATTGTTCTTCTTGCAGGTCCAAGTCAAAATCTGCAGAAATCAAGGTTCTATTAGCATTTTCATTTTGAATAGAAACTAGGAATTGAGAGTGAACCACTTTACATGTATAATATATATGTTTTTGATTGAGTATATCAAATCTCTTACCATCTGAATTGTTTTGATTATAATATCATTCAATCATTAATTAAATTAATCAATCAATTTATACCAATGTAAAATTAAAATGTTTTATTTTTTTTTAATCATTGATTTTAATAGAGCTAAGGGATGAGAGAGATAAGTCAAAAAGAGAAAAATGTGGTTTAATCTCATTGCTTGGATCTATTGAACTCAACGGTTATAAGTGTAAAACTTTTTAGTTTTACACTTTTATAAGTGTATCTGTAAGTAGGGATTTGCTTACTTTAGTGTAAGAGTTATACATTTATTTTTTAAGCCTTGAATCATAATTAAATGCATATCAGTTACACTTAACCATTTTGATTTGAGAATAAAAGAATGTGTAATATTTACACTAGTGGATTCCTTCTATATATATATACACACATGTGCACACATACACATATTTATATTGCAATAATGATGTGATTTATTTGTAAAGTGGTAGACTCTTAATTTTAACAATCAAAATTCAATAGTTGATAATATCAAGTAACCATAAAAATATATTGCCAATAGTAAGCTAGTGATATTGCCAAAATTACCTTACACTCTATCAAACAATAGCTCTTAGTATTTACTTTTTACTTCTTAAAATAGACAGTGGAAAGCAAAAAAAAAAAAAAAAGCAAAAAAGAAAAAGTATAGCACAGAACCTTAATTATTCATGTTTGGCTGCTCATGAATATGTTATTTGACTTCTCTACTTCATTCAAATGATGGGTTCTAATCTCTTTAAATTTGCATGATACAGATGTACAAGTGTATGATACGAAGAAGAATCCACATCTATTGCACATTAATATGGAAGAAGGTGCTGTAGCAACAGACATTGCTTCTAAAGATGTCACAGAGTGGACGGGCAATAAAAGCAGCAAGTGTAAAATGCCGTTGTCAAACTCTGCCAGATCTAGAGATTGGAGGAAAAGGAAGAAGGTATATGAATTACCTAACTTTCTACATTTCTCCTTTTTGATTCACTTTCGTTTTTTTTTTTTTCAAATTTTATAAAACTAAATTAGAATCTTATTTTTCCCATGTCTGGAAATTTGTTTAGATTTGTTGTAGGATATGCGTAACAAAACTTTGTATTTATAATTGTGAAGCGTTTTTTTTTTTTTTTAACAAAATCAAAGGATCTTTTGAGAAGAGGATCAATATTGTGTTGGTTAACAGTGAAAATTTAAGGAATTTTTATTCAATATCTAAAACACAAGATTGTAGTAATTACTAGTATTGTGTTTTATAAATTTTCTTCATTTATTTATCTTTATGAATTGTAAATTTTAATAATTTATTTATTTATAATAAAAATAAGGACCCATTAACTTATTTTTCTTTTTTTAATTATACTTATTCTGATCTTGAATTTACCTTGTGCCCAGGAGGAAACTAAACAGATGATGTGTGAATTGGCGCAGTCAAAGGACGAAATCAAGAAGTTAAAAGGAGACTTTGAGCTTTTCTATCAACGTTTTAATAGTCTTCGTCAAGAGAACGATGAGCTGAAGAAAAGTCACAAGGAGAGAGAAAAGCATGTAGAAAACCTTCAACAGTTGCTCGTAAGTTTCTCTCTTTCTAAGTAAAGGTTGGATGAACAACGAATTAAAGAAAAATGCCCATGAATTGGGTCAATCCGGATCAAGTACATGTTTTGGTGGGCTACTCGATCCATGGATAGATCCAAGGCAAAGTCTGGCATTGAACGTGATTTAAAATGAAAATTCGAATATGGCATTAAATATTTATAAATTTGAATATCAATTAATTTTACAATTTTTTTATTAGAAATAAAACACACCATTATTATCATAAACTTACATTTTTTGCAAGAGACAAAACACATTGTCAATTAAAATAATCTCACAATTGAATTCGTACTTTTATTATTCTTTCTACTAACATCTCTCTTTTTGTTAGATCAATAGTAACAATTCTCAGGCAGAAAATGAGCATCTCACAATCCGAATTGCTGATCCAGAGAATGCAATGAAAGATAGAAACGAAAAGCTTCTGAAGGAGAACGCACGATTGAAGCAGGAAAATGGCATGCTTATTAATTATGTACTTTTTCTGAAAAATAATGATAGATGAGAATCCTATTGAGGAACGAAACTGAAGACAGTAAATCAGGGGCCAATCCAAGGTGTTGCTACTTCAAGCCGAAACTGATTATATAATCGTAATGAAACTGATTATATTATGGTAACGAGTATTTCGAGTTTTGTTGATGCATGTTGGGATTTTATTGTCTGAGTGCTTTTTGTAAGGATATTGTGATTGACAAGAATAAAAAAACTCGTCTGTTTATCAAGTGATTTACCTTTATGGTTAATTGATCATTTCTTGGTTTGAATTGTAATATATTCTCTTTAATTTGGTACTCGCCTCCCGGAATTTTTATCCCTTATCTGGTTTGCTACGGAGTTCTTCGGAGACTTGATTAATTTATGCTTCTGTTAGTCGACTGGTTAGATTATTGAGCTTCTTGTTTGCATTACAAATGTGAAAATGCCTAGCATCATATGAGAGCAATTTTGAGAATTTACCGTAATACTAGTGATGGTAATTTGGATTTAGGTTGGATTGCTTTGAGTCAAAAAAAAAATTTTGGATCATTTTGTGTTCGTATTACGAGAAAAACTAACATTTAGCAATCTCTCAATGATACCCTCTCAAACATCGAAAAATAATTTTGGCAATGGATTACTGACTCATCCAGGTTCATTGGTGTGGGAACTAACAGTTAGGCTGAGCTTTGGGCCCTTAGAGATGGGTTACTGCTTGCATAAAATCTTAGCATTCGTAACCTTGAGATCGAGCTTGATGCCACCATTGTTGTTTCTATGGTTAAAAACCAGCTAACTTAGAATCCTGTTTTCCAACCCTTGATCTCTGACTGCAGGAAGTTGCTGATGTGTTTTGTTAGCCAAGGAATGCTGCACGTCCTCAGGGAGGGTAATAGATGCACGGACGCCTTGCCTGATTTGGAATTAGGAACTTTTCTGATAGTGTTGACTGTAATGAGGTATCTTTAGTTACTTTTCTGGACCTTCCTCCTTTTGTTAAGGACTTGATGGCTGCTCATGCAGCAGGACTGTTTCTGTATGTTCTATTTTCTAATTAAGTGTTCCTACGCTTGGTAACAAAAAAAAGAAAAAGGAAAAAATTGGCGATGTTACTTTAATCGGTAAAAATCTTTGGAAAAAATGTGAAATCAAGGTTGTCATAATCGTCTCAGATAATATTTTTGTATTTTATAAAAATATTATATATATCGATATTACTTGTTTCAATATATTATTTTGAATTTTTTAATTTAGTATAAATATATTTATAAATATATATAAATTTATATAAATTATAATATTATTAATAATTTACAAAATAAATATATAATATCTTCAAAAATCAAATAAATAAGTTTAAAAATATAAAAAATCATATCATAAAAATTTTAGGATATATTTAAGCACTTAATTGATCATATGACATTCAAATAAATATTTTTGCATATAAATGTTAAGATAAAAACAAATAAATGAAAAAAATTAACTAAAGCTTTATAATCGTTAAATTTTCTAAAAGAAGTATAATTGCTTTATTGAAAGAGATTGAAATACTTATAAACTTTAGTTTGAAAAAATAAAGTATAAAAAAAATCAGTTACAATAAAAAATTAAAAAAAATTCAATTTTCAATAATTATTTTATCAATTAATTTTATTTTTATTAGATTAAAAATAATTAAATAATAAAAAGTAAGTTAAAAATTATAAAATATATTTCACATTCACGTATCGATTGAAAGATATTAATATACCAAAATTTATTGAAATTAGCTGAAACTTAGGTATATTGCCCGATATCAAATTCTATACTAAAAATCATCTTTAAGTATATCGTTTTTTGATATAACTAGAGTGTATCAACCGATATAATTAATACTGAAACAAAATTAATAATTATAATGAAATTGTTAAAAGTATCTCGTCAGTAATGAAATATTTCGTCAATAATAAAAAAAATTTTAGCAACAAAAAATTTCGTAAAAAATATGTACATTTTCGTCACTAACACAATTTTTCTTTCTTAATATTTCTTTTAAAATTAAGGGACTTTAATGATGAAAATACTATAGGTAATTATAACATCCCGTTGCTAATAATATATTTGTATTTAAGATTTTTTTAATTTTAATTCTTTAATTCCTTCGATAAAAAGTTTCATCGCTAATGCAAATTTTTATTTTGATTTACAAAATTTTACTAAAAAAGCTTTGTTTTGAAAATATTTGGTTTTAAATTATATTAAAATAGATAAAAATATAATAAATAATTTTTTCATTTCATTTATCAAAAAACGACGTGGCATAAAAAAATTAACATAGAAATGTAATTACAATATATGAAATACTATATATATTTTTTAATTTTAATATTTTGTCATAATATATGAAATACTATACATAACATAGCATGAAAAAATTATCAAAAAAATTCTTTTCTTTCTCTTCATTGTTTAATATCTAAATGTTTATATATGTTCAATACATTTTTATTGTACTTTCATTACGAATTACAGGCTTTTATCTGGATTATAAATGAAAACTACCTCTTAAAGAATGAATAGTTGACACATGTCCCTTATAACAAAATGATTATTTTACTCTTCAATACTTTTGGACAAACACAACATTTTGCCTATTATTGAGGAGAATGTTGGTATTTGGCAACAACAACACAATAACATAATAATGAAAGAAGAAAAAAAAATTGCAAAACACCAAGACAACAATGGGGGGAAATTTTGGAGGTTTCAGTTGAAATTTTTATAAGAATTTAATGGTTAATTTCTTTTGAAAATTCGAACTTGAAGGGAGGAACATAAAGTGAGTATTTTGGTGGCTTTTGGGTTTTAGTGGATGGTGGTAGAAGATAGCTAAAACGGCGATAATACCAAATTTCTTATAAGATTTATTGTTTTCTTGAGAGTTTTGAAAAAAAATAAATCTGAAAATTAGAAAAAATAGACAAAAAGGACTTGAAAAGAGAATTTTTGTTCAGTTTCGTCGTTAACGAAAAGCAGTCAGAGGTAACGATCGGTGTTATGATCATCAACTGGACTTTGGATATTGGGAAATGGCTGAAGGTAGTGTTTTTGGTTTCTTACTAATCTGAAGAGAAAGTTGTGGATTTGGGAATTAGAGATAGAAAATGGAAATGAAAAGGGTTAAGGGTTCAAAAAACCCCTAAACAAAAATTGAATAGTTAATTAAGCTCTTAATTTTTTATTGCAATAAATAAAGTCTTTTTTTTATTTTCTTTTAAATAAGCTTTAAATTGGATGAAAACTGTTTAAGTTGTTAAATTGAGTTATATGTAGCATTTAATAAAAATATGGCTCATAAGTGGCTAATTTTATTCCAATGTGGTACATGATGTGGAAACTGTGGCTCTTGGTTGGATTTTTCAACTAATTTTAGATACATGGCATTTTATGATTAGTGGTAAGATAAAATTAAAAAAAATGATAAAAGGAAAAGCAAGAAAACCAAAATCCCTAAACCTAAAATGAAATTCCACTTTTTCTCCTTCTGCATATTCATCATTCATCTTTAACTGCATCTTTTTTTTCTTTTAACCTTTGATCTTTGATCTTTATCTTTATATCTTCTTATTCTATCTTCATCTTAATCTTTCTACAGTTTCATCATTATATCTTCATTTTCATCTTGCTGCATTTTCATCTTTTTACAATTCAAAATTTCCAACTAATGTCTTTGTCGTCCTCATTATCTATAACTAGTTGACTAATGTGCATACACATGTGGAATGGGAGAATAAGGGAAAAACAGTATTTTGTTATTGCAGACTGAAATGCCTAAGGTGGACAACATGAAAAATGATGAATATTGATAGAACATTCTATAGTTATCTTAATTGCAAGGTTGGCGATTGTAGGGTTTTTAGGTTCTATGATGATCAATTTAGTGAAAAGGTCAAATCTCTGATATATAAGTTATTTTTAAAGAACATGATAAGTTAAAAGAGAATAAAAGGTTTAGGGATGAGTTAAAGAGAAGGAAAAAAAATATGTTTCTTGTTGGAATGTTAATTTCTTCGATATTTTCTTAGTTTTTGCAAGTTATGTTAAGATGTAACTTATGCTATGAATTTATGTTAAAGGAAAAAGTTGTATGACCAAATTTAAATATGATGTCTTTTTATGAATATAGTTAGTTGATATGAACTTATGAATTTATGTTTATGAAATTCCTAGTTTGAAATGAATTATATGGATTCAATATACAAATTTCATATATTGATATGAATTTGCTTGTGTTGGTAAAAAAAATCCATTTGACTAAACAACCAATTCCAAATGGTCCATTATAGGGAACAAAATATTCATATTGCATTGTTATCCAAATGGTCTATTATAGGGAACAAAATGTACACATTACATTGCTATTCAAATGGTCCATTACAAGGAACAAAATGTTCACATTATAGAAATGGTCCTTTAATCATGAACCAATTATAAAAAAAAATCTTAAAGCTATTAAAAGCAATATTTCAAAATGAACAAACTATAAAAGCAACCAATTATCAAAAGCCATATTTCAAAAAGAACCAATTATTAACAGCCTTTAACAGGAACCCTTGTCATATATAGCTAACAAAACAAGAACTATCAAGAACTTTTAGCTAGCTTGTCATATACAGCTAACCAAAAAAAAAAACTACCAAATTTTTTTACTTTCCAATTTGGATTAGCTGTTGAACCAGTTTGAAATGGCTATGTCCCAACTGGATTCTTCGATGGATTCCTCATATTTTTCTTTAGTTCAACATCTTTCTGTTGTTGTAGTTGCCTTATGATCATAGCTTTCTTTCATTTCAATTTCAAGCCTTCCTTTTTTTAAGTATGACCGAATCCAGCATGATCTTAACCTCCAATTTATCTTTATTATGTTATAGTCCTCTCACTTTTTTGACCAGGCTAGCCATAAAAGAATTGGTTTGATTAAAAGGCATAAAATTTAATTATAGGGATTATGGTCAGTGAAACATGTTTACTTACATTCCAAACTTGTTCACCAGTTTCTAGATTGATATATAACTCAATCCCTTCCATTTGCTTTTTAATTTGTTGATTTTTGGAATCAATTTTAAAACCATCAAAAGTAATATTCTCTTTTCTTTTATTGACTGAAACTATTAGAGTAGTACACTATTGTAACTTTTTCTTTCCTTTTTCCTTGGTTTTAGTTATTATGCTTGATTGACTGTGACCTTAAAGTAAGACT